CAGCTGGGTGTGGGTAGTCAGGGTAATGTCCGAGTGGTAGAAGGATGTGTGCTGTGATGTTATAGTGATACAGCTGGTTGTGGGTAGTCAAGGTAACGTCCGAGTGGTAGAAGGATGTGTTCTGTAATATAGTGATACAGCTGGGTGTTGGTAGTCAGGGTAATGTCCGGATAATACAAGGATGTGTTCTGTTATAGTGATACAGCTGGGTGTTGGTAGTCAGGGTAAGGTCAGGATGATACAAGGATGTGTGTTGTGATGTTATAGTGATACAGCTTGGTGTTGGTAGTCAGGGTAATGTCCGAGTGATATAAGGATGTGTGCTGTTATAGTGATACAGCTGGGTGTTGGTAGTCATGGTAATGTCCGAGTGATACAAGGATGTGTGCTGTTATAGTGATACAGCTGGGTGTTGGTAGTCAGGGTAATGTCCGAGTGATACAAGGATGTGTGCTGTGATATAGTGATTCAGCTGGGTGTGGGTAGTCATGGTAATGTCCGGGTGATACAAAGATGTTTGCTGTGATATAGTGATTCAGTTGGGTGTTGGTAGTCAGAGTATTGTCCGAGTGGTATAAATATATCTTCTGTGATATGGTGATACAGCTGTGTGTTGGTAGTCATTGTATTTGTCGAAGAGTATAAGGATGTGTGTTGTGATGTTATAGTGATACAGCTGGGTGTGGGTAGTCAGGGTAATGTCCGAGTGGTAGAAGGATGTGTGCTGTGACATTATAGTGATACAGCTGGGTGCGGGTAGTCATGGTAATGTCCGAGTTGTATAAATATGTTTGCTATGATATAGTGAGACAGCTCGGTGTGGGTAGTCAGGGTAATGTCCGAGTGGTTGAAGGATGTGTTCTGGGATGTTATAGTGATACAGCTGGGTGTTGGTAGTCATGGTAATGTCCGAGTGGTATAAGGATATGTGTTGTGATGTTATAGTGATACAGCTGGGTGTGGGTAGTCAGGGTAATATCCAAGTGGTAGAAGGATGTGTTCTGTAATATAGTGATACAGCTGGGTGTTGGTAGTCATGGTAATGTCCTAGTGATACAAGGATGTGTGCTGTGATAGTGATACAGCTGGGTGTTGGTAGTCAGGGTAATGTCCGAGTGATACAAGGATGTGTTCTGTTATGGTGATACAGCTGGGTGTTGGTAGTCAGGGTAATGTCCGGATGATATAAGGATATGTGTTGTGATGTTATAGTGTTACAGCTGGGTGTTGGTAGTCAGGGTAATGTCCGGGTGATATAAGGATGTGTTCTGTTATAGTGATACAGCTGGGTGTTGGTAGTCAGGGTAATGTCCCAGTGATACAAGCATTTGTGCTGTTATAGTGATACAGCTGGGTGTTGGTAGTCAGGGTAATGTCCGAGTGATATAAGGATGTGTGCTGTTATAGTGATACAGCTGGGTGTTGGTAGTCAGGGTAATGTCCGAGTGATATAAGGATGTGTGCTGTTATAGTGATACAGCTGGGTGTGGTAGTCAGTCATGGTAATGTCCGAGTGATATAAGATATGTGTATGCTGTTATAGTGATACAGCTGGGTGTTGGTAGTCAGGGTAATGTCCGAGTGGTATAAAGATGTCTGCTGTGATATAGTGATACAGCTGGGTGTGGGTAGTCAGGGTAATGTCCGAGTGGTAAAAAGATGCCTTCTGTGATATAGTGATACAGCTGGGTGTGGGTAGTCAGGGTAATGTCCGGGTGATACAAAGATGTTTGCTGTGATATAGTGATTCAGCTGGGTGTGGGTAGTCAGGGTAATGTCCGGGTGATACAAAGATGTTTGCTGTGATATAGTGATTCAGCTGTGTGTTGGTAGTCAGGGTAATGTCCGAGTGGAATAAAGATGTCTGCTGTGGTATAGTGATACAGCTGGGTGTTGGTAGTCATTGTATTTGTCGAAGGGTATAAGGATGTGTGCTGTGATGTTATAGTGATACAGCTGGGTGTGGGTAGTCAGGGTAATGTCCGAGTGGTAGAAGGATGTGTGCTGTGACATTATAGTAATACAGCTAGGTGTGGGTAGTCATGGTAACGTCCGAGTGGTATAAAGATGTTTGCTGTGATATACTGATACAGCTGGGTGTGGGTAGTCAGGGTAATGTCCGAGTGGTAGAAGGATGTGTGCTGTGACATTATAGTGATACAGCTGGGTGTGGGTAGTCATGGTAGTGTCCGAGTGGTATAAAGATGTTTGCTGTGATATAGTGAGACAGCTGGGTGTGGGTAGTCATGGTAATGTCCGAGTGGTTGAAGGATGTGTTCTGGGATGTTATAGTGATACAGCTGGGTGTTGGTAGTCATGGTAATGTCCGAGTGGTATAAGGATGTGTGTTGTGATGTTATAGTGATACAGCTGGGTGTGGTAGTCATGGTAATGTCCGAGTGGTAGAAGGATGTGTGCTGTGATATAGTGATACAGCTGGGTGTGCGGTAGTCATGGTAATGTCCGAGTGGTATAAGGATGTGTGCTGTGATATAGTGATACAGCTGGGTGTGGGCAGTCATGGTAATGTCCGAGTGGTTGAAGGATGTGTGTCGTGATGTTATAGTGATACAGCTGGGTGTTGTTAGTCATGGTAATGTCCGAGTAGTATAAGGATGTCTGTTGTGATGTTATAGTGATACAGCTGGGTGTGGGTAGTCAGGGTAATATCCGAGTGGTAGAAGGATGTGTGTTGTGATGTTATAGTGATACAGCTTGGTGTTGGTAGCCATGGTAATGTCCGAGCGGTAGGAGGATGTTTGCTGTTATACGGTAGTGACAAGGAACGATAGGAGTAGTCAGGGTACTATCCGAGTGGTATTAATATGTGTGTGATAATGCAGTGAAACAGTTATATCGGTAATGATGGTGATGTGGCAGTAGTTACGAAATACCACATATAAGGCCTATTCCCGATGTGCTCACGGTATGTGTCAGAGTAGATAGAGATAGATTCTGATGATAGAGATGAAATGTGGAAATGTTTTAGGAATAGGGGTTTTAAAGGAAAAATGTTTGATTTATCAGGTCAGTGTAAAATCTTTTGATCATACATGTAGTAAATATTTTGATTGCCCTACAGGTGTACGAGAAGGTTGTGCCCTAAGCCCCATACTTTTCTCATTCTTTATCAACGAACTTTATTTTGATATTATGCAAGCTGGTAGACATGGCATCCAATTATTTCCTGATCTAGTTGAACTTTTTCTCTTCCTTGTTTGCCGACGATGTGATCCTTATATCAAGTACTGGTATTGTTCTTCAGTGACAAATAGATACACTTTCATCTTATTCAGACAACTGGCGACTTGGTGTTAATCTTGAAAAGACCAAAGTTCTTGTATTCCGTAAGGGTGGCAGCTGAAGAAAAGTGGCATTTTAAATGTGAACGTATGACTGTTGTTAACGAATATAAATATCTAGGGATACCGTTTACATATACACTGGTAATTAGAGGAAAAGGGGCCCTACTTCAATTGTTGTTCAATTATACCAAAGTTGGGGGTTTGGACCCAGTATATTTTTCAAATTGTTTGATTCCAAAGTACAGCCTATTCTTCTTTATGGGTCTGAAATTTGGGGCTACAAGGAATATTATTTCATTGAAAAGGTTCACCTTCTTGCTTGTACTTGTAAAAGGTTATTAAATGTTGGTATGTCTGCCCCTAATAATATGGTGTACGGTGATATGTGGGAGATTTCCTTTGTACATAATTTCTTACTCTCGCTGTTTGAAGTATTGGTGTAAAGCAGTGAATATGCCAGAACGTCGTCCGCAATATAAAAAACCCTACAGTATGATTGTCAATCTTGATAATATTGGTAAAAATACTTGGGCAACCCGTATTCGTAATCTTTTGTTTAGATACGGCTTTGGATTTGTTTGGTTATCCCAAACGGTAGGTGATGTTAATAGGGCTACCAGGGCTATCGATATCTTTAAACAAGACTGGCATTCATCTCTATGTGAAAGTGCAAGATATGATTGTTATCGTGAATTGAAATCTTTATTTGAACCTGAGTCGTATCTATACAGCTTACGTAGTAAAAATCTTCGTAATGTTTTCATACGCCTGAGACTTGGCCTAAATGATCTATCTATCAATCAAGGACGATATTTAATCACAAATGTTCTGTCCATTTTGCAATACTGTAGAGAATGAATTACACTTTTTATTTCTTTGGCCTGTATATAATGTTTTAAGACAAATTTATTTTCCACAATGGCTACATGTTTTCCTGTAAAGCATCCCTATTACAATATAAGGTAGCTCTATTTATTTATCATGCGCTTGTATTGAAAAGAGATTCACTGTAACGTGTGTGTCGTATGTTGTATATGTTGTACATATTATACATGTTTATTTTGTATATGGGCCTATGGCCTTCATGCAATAAACTGATTGAGTAGCTGATACATACAAATGTTTGCACATCGGTTTTTCGATTCACACCTGAATGAACCGTAAGAACCGTAATAACAGTGCCCAATATATCAATATATCAATATACCAAATGCATAAAACAATACACATTCAATCCTTATGATAATATTTGCAATAGATTCATCAAAAATATTCGTAAAAATATATCAATATAAATGACAGAAATTACGAGATAAATAAACATTCCAGGGAAGGAAGGACTTATATATTAACATACAGGGACTGGGTCTGACCGATACAAATACAGATAAAGTCAGTTGATGATCACAAGGATATGGAAGTGAATCAGGTGGTTGTGGAAGGCATATTCATATTGGGTGTAGTAAAGGGATGTGCACTGTGATAGTTAGGCTAAGGAGAAAGGTGTTGCTATTCAGTGCATTCCAATACTTATGATAAACAGAAGTGTGTGGGTACTGGTAATGTCGGAGCAATATAAGGATGTGCAATGTGAGGATGTACACTATGGTGCTGCAGTGACACTGAAGGAAGCAGGAATCCGTGGTGATGTGGAGGTATTGCCAGATACACGGTATAGGTGCATGCATGACTCACTTGGAATACACTTCATATCCTTTTGGAAGAAATCTTCCAGACACTGGCATGTGTTACTGCTACAATCAGCGTTAACAACACACTCAGATCTGTTGGTGCATGTTTCGCCCACCTGAGGTCCTGTATGACGAACATACGGTGAAGACAATCAGAAGTAGCTATCGTTCTTACATACTGTGCACATGCTGTGTAACACACGTGTGTGTATGTGTGTCAATCTGAGTGTTTGTCTGTGTACGTCTGTGCCTGTCTGTGTGCCTCGCCTCTCTCTCTCTCTCTCTCTCTCTCTCTCTCTCTCTCTCTCTCTCTCTCTCTCTCTCTCTCTCTCTCTCTCAGTGCAGTGTGTCTCTCTTAGATGTAAAAAGCAATCGATAAAACCAACCAATGTATAAACCAATGCATGAATACATTATAAGTTTATATTAAGTCACTAAGCAGTGCAGTGTGTTATACATTAGAGTGAGTGAATGAGTTTAGTTTAACGCTGCTGTCCGCAGTATTCCAGCAATCGCACAGCGGGGAACATCAGAAACGGGCTTTATATATAGTACCCATGTGGGGAATCGAATTCGGGTCTTCGGCGAGACGAGCAAACGCTTAAACCACTAGGCTACCCCGCTGGCCCGTTAGATATTAATACATAATAGTGTACGTCTACAGTTTTCCTGCTCAGTGGCCATGACTTACTGTCTTCACATTGTTGATCCTTCTGGTAGTATTCTTCAGGGCATGTACATACTGAGTCATTACACGTGGAAGGCGTCATACATTGCTTTTCATTTGTACAATTGCTGCCAACTGGTATCGCTTTGAACAAGCATAAACGACAAGTCGCACATTATGAAGTTTATCATTGAATTTATGTTCTAAATAATCAGAGATCAGGTAATCATTAACGCGCTGGCAAATAATGGCATTTGCCAACAGTTAGTAATAAATGGGTGTCGTTTACACAAAGCATTCGGTTACAGATGACATTGAATAATTATTGATCTCTATTTGCCAGCGGTTTTATGGTATTAACATACATGCAGTGGGTGAAGGGTGTGGTTATTTAGAGTAATATCGGGGTGGCAGAAGGATGTGCATTCTAATATTTCTGATAAGCAAAATGATGCGAGTAATGATAATATCGTGGCAATACAATGATGTGCATTTTAATGTTCTACTTTAACAGAAGTGTTTGGCTATTAGTAATATCGTAGCAATATAAGGATGTGCATTTTTATATTCTACTTTAACAGAAGTGTGTGGGTATTGGTAATATGGGAGCAATATAAAGACGTGCGAATTCTGTTCTTAGTGATACGATAGGTGGAGATGGTTAAATGTTTTAGAGACAAACCGATGAATCACTCCAAGGTATTTATCTTATTTAATGTAGAGTAATTTTAGAATGTGCATTGGTACATTGTAGTGACACAGAAAGAAGGTTGATGTGGGAGAATTACCAGATACATGATACATGTGCGTGCAAGACTCACTTGGTATACACTTCATATCCTTTTGGAAGAAATCTTCCAGACACGTGCATGTGTTACTGCTACAATCAGCGTTAACAACACATTCGGATCTGTTGGTGCATCTTTCGCCCACCTGTCGTCCTGTATGACGAACATACGGTGAAGACAATGAGAAAAGGTTATCGTCCTTATACCCTGTACATTCTACTGAACACACATGTGAGCGTGCGCGCGCAACTGTCACTTTATAAACCGGAGCAATTATTGTTTAAACGTGTTTTCTTTTCTTCGTGTTCATCGAGATACAATTATGATATAAAATAACATAAGTAAATTGTATAATTGGACAAAAAAAAAATCACTTGTACCGGTTTAGACAAATAAACAAAATGCATGAATACATAACATCGTATGGCTAGTACAATGCTCACATTCGCAATGAAACCAATCTTAAAAAACCAACCAATGTGAAAGCGATTATACTTTTTTTATTTAGTCGCTTAATCAGTGCAGTGTGTGAGAAATTAGGGTGAGTGAGTTTAGCTTTACACCGCATTTAGCAATATTCCAACAATATCACGGCGGGGGACTCCAGAAACAGGCTTCACATATTGTACCCATATGGGGAATCGAACCCGGGTCTTCGGCGTGACGAGCGAACGCTTTAACCACTAGGTTACCCCACCTCCCCGTTAAAAATTAGAATACGTTTGTCTACCTCTACGGTTTTCCCTTACAGAGGCAATGACTTACTCTTTTCACATTGTTGATCCTTCTGGTAGTATTCTTCAGGGCATGTACATACTGAGTCATTACATGTTGAAGGCGTCATACATTGCGTTTCATTTGTACAATTGCTGCCAACTGGTATTGCTTTGAACACACATAAACGACACATAGTATATTATGAAGTGTATGATTGCAGTGATGTAATGTTCTGCATAATCAACATTAAGATTATCATTAAAGCGCGGGCACACAGAGTAATTAACTTTGTATATGTCAACAGTAAGACAAATAAGAAAAAATGGGTGTCGGTTACACGAAGCATTCTGTTACAGAGGACATTGAATTGGTCTCTATGTGCCAGCGGTTTTATGGCATTGACATACATGTAGTGGGTACTCGGATTGTCGTTCAAACAAGATTATGTTAACTACCAAACATCCGCCAAAGTAGATGCAGAAAACTTTACAAGTTTGAGTAGTTTCCATGCAGTAAACTCTGATTGTGATTGTGATTATATTTGAAACAACCTTAGCCCTAAAAGGATGACAATCAACACCAAGTATTGTGCATACAATACCATTTATGAGTGTTGTAAATACCTAACATCCTTGATGTTCAGTAACTCCGTTTGAGAAGCTGACTCAACTAAATCAACACATCCGATCATGATCAACTGTTGTTTAGGACCTAGCAGAGTGGGAACCATTGTGACGAATACATTTAAGAAATCTCTTCTAAAAGCAGAATCTCAGTACGATTCAGATTATGTTTTAGCATGTGTTTCCTGGTCACTTTCAAATACTGATGACATATGCACTATGCACGTAAAGGCAACTTTTCACCTGAAAAACACGAAACAATTGGAGTTGATATAGGTAATTGCACCGGGCACGATTTTTGTCCCTGGTGGTCAAATTTTGGAATATCATTATTTGGGGTAAGACAATAAGACAAGAGACAACAACAGGCATGTATATGAGTACCAACAGTGCTCCCCTTCTTGCCGATCTGTTCTTTATGTTCATGAATCAGCTTTACTACGACTGGCTGAGTCTAAGTGAAACTTAGGCTTGATGTATTTCGCAAATCTATTGTCGTTCAATAGCTATCAAATAGCTGATTCAAGGATATCCAATGTTCATTCTGCAATTTATCGCAAGAAGATGAGTACCATGTATTACTTGTATGCCCGAAATATTTAGAAATAAGCGAAACATATTTGCCTTATTTTTTCTATAACAAACCGTCGAGACAAAAATTCTGTATGCTACTTCGCACAGAAAATATTGACTTGTTGTTTAAGGTAGCCCTTGTGTTGTACTACATACTTATGTTGAGAGAAAAAATGTAAATTGTGAATGGGTGTTTATGGATTTATTGATGTTCCTATAACTCGTGCATTTACAGGTTGCGCATAAATGCACTGTTATTATTGTACACAAGTACTATTGGCCTCAGGGCCACATATACAAATAAATATGTCTGTCTGTCTGTCTAAATAGCTGATTCAATATAATAGTTTTTCCCACCTAAACTGACCAGTGAGACTGCCTCATCAATTCATGTTTAGATATACATACAATGATTCAGAGTGACAAAACACTCTACAAAGCCTTCCAGTACTTGTATTCAGCAATGTTCCAGCAGTCTATATTTCACTTCTTTTGATTTATATTTTTCTTTTGTTCCACATGTCCTCCGGTGTGGGTTTATTTTGCAAGTGATAAACTGCCTTGCCTCTGCATGTATTTGTGACGGAAACCACATGTGTGGCAGAATGCGCTCATTTTTCGTGAACACCGGGTATTATAACCATTTGATAGTGATTCATGAACAAAGTCTTATAATATATATAGTTAGAATCATCCAATCCAATCAGATGTAAGTAGAAATTCATAGTGGCCATGGATGGAGTTGTGTCGATTTTTAACCTAACGGACGTTTATCTAACTATAGAAGTACTCGTATACTTTCATACAAACACACTCAAGTAAACACAAACCATTCCCTCGAAGTTATTGATATGAAAACATATAACGATACATCGAGAATATAAGGAAAGAGTAAAACCAACATGAAGTAGATACAAAATCACACGATCTATAGATGCTCGGCTTTTATATATCCGTTCTCATAGTACTGGGACATGCAATACAAATATTTGAAATATGTATGTGCTCCTAGTGTATAACATGCTTATGTCATGCTGTATCTGTAGAGGGCGGGACAATTGATGCTTGTGAGTGAGTGGTTTGTGGGATTCATTGAAACGTAGTAGCACTATATCAACACAATGGCGAAAGGAAAGCTAGCCAGACGCAAGTCACAGCGTTTATCCCCTTTGTATAACAGGCTGGCTGGTGTATAAGAGCAAAAGGTCATAATACGGTCGCATCTGGGATTAGAACTCGCAATCAGCGGATCCTGGTACCAAGATACACTGTTCTGAAACGCTTAACCTTGCTCCAAGGCTGTACTGAAGGCTAAGCTCATGGATGTATAGTAATTCTAAATTTTAAACAGGCAAGTCTAGATAGGTACAGCCAGTCTATTAGAGGGTTATTTATATTTTTTTAGAAATTATCAGTTAAACTATTAATTATTACCTTTGAGACTTGTGCAAGTGTATGAAACGTGCATTGGAATTTGTGCCGTCTACCCTACAGGTATTAATGTATTATCAATCTCATACGTAATACAGTACGACGACATAATTTTGATGATCTGTGTCACATTGAACACAGTTCAGGTTTCAAAATCATAATTACTTGGTAAGTCCACTCACGCATTAGCAACACGTTGGCTAATGTTAAACCGTGGACATCAGAGTATAAATAGCATTCCATTCCACCAAGTATATTCAGTGTTCATCGTGTTTGACAAGCTTTTGTTAGTACATATCTGTGACGGTAGTTTCAATAGTAGAGTATGGCTGAAGTACACTGGTTAATACATGTGGAACTGGAAATATTACATCCCGTGTATATTTGAATAGGTACATCAGTGATAGAACAAGGAAATGAAACAGATGCACATTCTCAGATATACACATAACTATGATTTCATATTATCATGACATAAGTACATGGTAGATACAAGTATATATGTCCCTGGATGTGCTTCATAGTGGTTATTGTAACCCTGTATAATAGAATGGAAAAGATGAAAAGATGACAAGGACACAAATATGTTTATCTATGTAAATGAGTAAATATTTTGTATATGTATATTATAACACGGTGGCGTATATGTGGTCATGCACGTGAATTACCCACTCACTAGCCACACACTGTGTCCCGTGTCTGTAGTAGCCGTACCCACACGTGCATCGACTCATGATACAGTAGGCACCAAGCCCACATTCTCGACTCAAGCGGCACCGACCTTACAACCAAGTAAACTTCGTCTTCAACAGCTTCATTGTGTTTCTTTAGTTTCATATATTATGAACAATCGTGCATCTTCGGTATGTGTCATGTGTATATTGAACACTAAATAGAATTTTAGTTTTGAGTAATTCAACACCGTGTATCCCATGTTCATGCATGACATCTTTAACTTTACCTTTAAATTCATTCCAAGAAACATATATGACGCCAGTCAGATAATAGATTAGAAATAACAAGCACACTGTAAATCTCTTAGGCTGAGAAGGGTATTCACATTCTGATCCCGCTTGACAGCGATTGTTAAGGTTGTACTACAACACCCTCGAATTAAACGTCTTTAAAGTTATCTATCCTGGTACCTTAAACATTTAGCTCCCGTATTGCCAAGTAACAACATAAAATAAGACATGTTATCTACTTTTCATCAATTAGATGGAAGCAGTAATATGAACAATGCCCTGCTAGTAATGTCCCTATTGCTGCCAGTGGAAGCGTTGCAAAAGCAAATTAAAAAAGTCATAAAAGACGTTTGAGCATGCATTCAGTCTGGTTCATCATCTGCTGTATTGTTTCAGCTTCAGCTTTGCAACACAAAACAGGATGACTGCACCAACACGGGTATGACGACATTAGTGTGTTGACTTACCCGATGGCATCGTACTGGAAGGTGTTGTTGTTGGGGTTGGTGTTGGTGGAGACGGTGTTGTCGACGGTTGAGTGGTACTCGGCGTATCAGATGTTGATTTGGAAGGATCTGGTTCACTAGATGGAGATGCTCCCGAGGTTAACATTGACATTTGTGATGTAGTTTCTGAAGCCGCAGTCGTAGTCGTTGGGTTGACTTCAGTGGTATCCGCCGTCGTCCCTTGCAGCGTCATTACAGGCAGGTACACAACCTAGAAAACGTGGCGAGATGTAACAAGTCATGTTTCACTGTATCTTCTTCCACGATGTTGGAGAAAGGATTTGCCTACTAATGGAAATGTTTCACTCATTTATTTCGTGAAAGTGGAAAGATGTTTGACTAACCTTCCAGAAATATTCGAGATATATCAGAACGAGATATATATAACACGTTTCACACAGTAGAAAGTGGGTGGATCTATTGAAGAAGCAGAAAGTCCTCAGCAAATATAGGAAAACAACAAACATTTCCCATTCAAAGTTCAGTGCTTTATTTGAAAGAAATCAAAGTATACAGGAGAAGTAACTGATTTTTTCTTTTAATTATATATTTATTTTTCAAAGACATCCGAATCGATAATATAACCATATGACTAGGCAATCTAGTGATTAGCGACATGACCATCAAACTAGGTAAATGGGGTGCCAAGTCAGAGCGTCCAACCTGATCTGTTTATTCAACTCTTATGACAAGCATTGGTTGCAGAATTTGGTCTCTGATGGTAAGTTAAACGGTCCAGCAACTGCAAATTTAGATATGGTACTGTAGCCTCAACATCTGAACACTTTCAAAACAGTGTATGTATGCACTCCAACCACACGGAAGTAAATTAAAAGCATTTACAAAATCACAGGTTGAAAATAGTTCCTTAAAAAACTGAAACGGGCAAAATAATAAACATTTCATGTGTCGGATACGATTTAGCTCAGTTTCTGTATAGGTCGAAACTCTTAGTCAATGTCAGAAACACTCGGTGTCAATCTCCACAAAATAGTAATAAGGTTGAATAAATCACCATTTGGAAAACAGTATGCCACTCGAACACATTTCTATTTATGCACGGGTAGTCGTTCCAGTTTTGCAGAAATCAACCTAGATACCAAGCTACAGCGAGTTCCCTGTCTGTGATACAACAGAGGCACACTTCTTTTTGCAGAAATCAAATCACGAGTTTTCTGTTTGTGTCCTACTTTTTGTACAAAACAAACTGTTTTTGTCACTCTGAAGCTTTAGGCATAAGTTTAAATGTTAAGTATAAAACACATATGGCGGTCTCAGTTGTTTGTTTTCTTCATTTCAGTTATCTGTTGCGATTTAGAACATGAACTTGAAGGTGTTTCTGAAATTTTTACATTTGTTTTTGTTCCAAATGATCCTGTGCTTGTTCCAGTGAACAGTTGACTTGCCTTGCACGTGTTTGTGACAGGTGCCACTAATGGCACTGATACGGCCGCCATTTCGCAAACATTTTGTATCAATACCATCAGATGGTTATTCTTTGAGACATGCTTGTGATTTAGTTTGAATCTGCAATGGACTTTTCTTATGCATATGGAATTAAGTTGTATTCTTCGCTTCAATGTATTGATTGTATTGAATACTTCATTGGACAAGGTGGAAATGCAAAGAAGCTAATTTCATTAAAACACCATTATTTTAAATATATGACCGCAGGTACACATGTATTTTGATAGAAGAGACAAAACCCTTTCCACGTCCATAATACGAGGGTCGATCAAAAAGTACGTAGCCTAACTATATTCTCGATGTCCAGTGTTTGAAAAGCTTCCATTTTATTTTGAAGGAATCGTTAGCAAAGCCATATCCAAAATTTCACATGTGTGACAGTCTGGTGGTTAACCAGATATCAAAACACATTGGGGTATAATATTTCTAACAAAATTGCAGAAAATGAAAAACGATTTGTCTTTTGGTACCTCTTGGATAATGGTATGCCTTCAGATAATTTCATATAAAATATGTTCAGTATAGGATTGGGTGACTTCCGGTCATGATCAACAGTCAAAGATTTGGATTGCCTGATTTATATTTAGTCGGGGTCTATTTCTTAACGACACCCCCATTTTAATTTTTAAAAAACATTGTGTCCAGGTATTCAAGCTGGCACTGTTTTCAATATATTGTGAGCTGACACGTGTGTGACCATTCAGTATTTAGTTTGAACCCTTGGCATCATGTATGCATAAGTGAAAACATTAGAATAAGCTATGCCCTTATGATTACGTCATCTGAAAGGGGGATTGGTAGTGTCTCCAAAACAAGCTCTTTCAGTCAACATGAAAGGGAGAGTCACTTTAACAAGCGATTGTAATTTCAAATTGCTTTTTTAGGAACTTTAATATCTAAGTGTGATTCTAGGGGACTTCTATCAATCAAACACACAAAATATTTCTTGCATATTTTGTTTCCTGAAGTTTTTTATGCATTTATTGTAGATTTTGCGTTTTTTGAGGGTGTCAAGATAAAAGGTCAAACAAAATGGGAATCGTGAGACTGGAACATAGCAAAACCAAATTGCTTGAGCTTGACAGATAATATGTAGAAAAATAAAACATAAACAAAACTGAATTTGTATCGTTTTCTTGGTGATTCTACATACTTTTTGATCGCTCCTCGTAGAAGCGTCAAAACCCTTTCCACATTCATAAGAAATCTCTGCCAAAAGCAGAGTCGATTGTACCATCGTCACTATATCATGAGCAGATATTTGTTTCAGCAGTATTACAGCTGTATGATGTTGTTTATAACAAATCGAGTCTAAACCAGTCAATCGAGTGATTGTCACCATGTGATACGATGACAGAGCATGTGTTTACGAATCACGGATGATACCAGGTGTTCGCGAAAAAGTGAGCGGTGGCATCCGACATCAACATATGCTAAGTCTAGTCAAGTCTTCGCCTGAAATAATTCGGGAAGGAATGGTAAAATAGGGAATTGCATCGGACACCATTTTTGTCATTGATGCATCCAATTGGAAACTTTCCTCCACATGTCTACCATAAAGCTTCTTGAAAGCTGTAGTGAGGGGTTGAATGTGGTAACCTTGATCAAACCACTTCTGAGCATGAGTGGTATGGCGCTTTTTGAAATCCTGATAAAAAGAGCACGCTCGATTGTACCTCAAAAGTTGTGAAATTCTCAACACTAAAAGGCTGGAGCTGTTGGAATATTGCTCGACATGCAAGGGAAGTTGACTTTTGGAAAAGCGAAATCATCCCTTTTGTCAAGCAGCCATGTGGAGAGTTTTTTGTCAATTTGAATCTTTATGCATATATGTACATATGAAACAGTTGAGGCGGTCTCACTTGTCTCCTTAATTTCAAATTTAGGTGAGTAAATCAATTGGCTATTTGATGGTTATTGAATGATATTATATCATCGATGTACCGGAAGCTTAAGTTAAACTTCTTGGCCAAATTACCTTGTTTCGATTTTACCAACCCAAGCGGAAATTCCGATTCATATGAATAAAGAAAAGGATGCGCAAGGAGGGGAGCTCAATTGGTGCCCATGGGGATGCCCACTTCTTGGCGAAATGTTTTACCCCCAAATTTCACAATGATGTTATCAATGATAAAGTCCAGCATTTCACATATTGTTTTCTGGGTAAACTTCAAATGACATTTGCTTTCATTTTTCACAAGTTGTCCTTTGAAGATAGGTATGTATTTTTTCACCACATTTGTTTACAAATGCCCCATGGAGTAGGGAATACATTTTTTTACTAAGTTTGTCATCTGGAATATTGGTATACAATGTTGAAAAATCAAATGCTTTTGTTTGAGTGGGATTTTAGAAGTTGAGACGAACAATATTGAACACAACTTATGGATAACAACTTCTTTATTTCGAAATATTTCGAAATTGTTATCCATAAGGTTTGTTCAATCACAAATGTTTGGACAGAACAGAAATGAAAGCAAATCCTTTGAGTTTTTGAGAATCCACACGGTATTAAGTCCGCTTGTCTCAAAAACCTTCTGTGAATATCGAGAATGTCCTTCCTTGATAGTACAGTGAAACCGTGTATGCATAGCTGTTGTGCGCTCTGATTAGGTATTTACCACGCTATCTCCAGTATTGTAATGTACAAGACATATATAAATAAATGTCATGCCGTTTGTCTCCTGGGTTTGTTTACTGTTTCCTGCCGCCAGTATTCAAGATATACACTCGATGGTATGGAAATGATCGAATCTTAGCATGAAAAACCAGTGACTTACTCAAGTCCTGATCGGGGTCACACAGCCTGAACCCTTGACCCAGTAAATTGACCCTAACAGCAATCATGTACCCGTGAAGATTAGGGTTAGAATTGGTTTCCAGGAACCCTTGGATATCGTAAGAGGCGACAATTCTTGTCGTGTGAGGCAATCATCAGGATTGGTGGCCAGGTTGATGTATGTCATAGTGCCCCAATTGCTTACATGCTCATAATGTCAATCACTGGATTTTCAGATGACGATTTGATTACTTTCTGAATGTCTGCCTTCATACAACTAGAGTATTGCTGATCACAAAAAATCGGAAATCAGTACTTATCAATAACAGTGATTACGAAAGTCCCTAGAGACACTCAACATAGGAAATATTTCATATATTCCATAATATAGGTTCAATACCGTTTAGTTGACACTACATTTTAACATGAATCTTTCAAATATCATTATGATTCCTGCAAATTGCATTGTCTTCATCATGACTCAGATGATTGATTGTGGAACTGTATAAACTAACTGTCGGTCACAGGCTACATTTCCTTGTGCTGCGCCATAGTCGTGTCTGGCGGATGCTGATAACAGCAAATCCTGATATGACGTCAGAAGCCGGATGTTAGACCGAAGTGAATATTTCATTGTGCTGTAGCCTGAACTAAACAACTGACAAGCATATCTAGACCAAAACATCAAAACAGTTTATTCTTCCTCGTCGGTTCGACCTATAACTGACGCAACTTATCTCAACCAATATCCAGTTTAGTACTTGTTGTTGTGATTTTGAATGAAGGTATATATTACATGGTTTCCATGGCATCGAGGCATTCGGTGCAGTGCCAGTTTTAATATCATGTCAAATTTAAGAAGTTAATATATAAAAGGTGACTAAGCAAGAGAGACAAAAAGAGAGAGCAAAATGTTCTTTTAACCACGTGCTTTGCTAATGAATATCCTGCTACTTGATAACCTG